CCAATTCCTTTATTAGGTACTCATTGCACTTACTCAAGAGGTGTCCCAGCCGACACCAGCATCAACAGCATAACAGCAATCACATAAACGAGCCTGACTACTCAGCACATGCGCAGTAGCTGGCAGCCAAAAACGTAATGACGTCACATCAATCAAGCTCCGCCCTACGCGTTTCGTCATCGACGTCCTCACGGAGCGGATGGATGTGAGACGTCTCAACCTCATTAAATATTCACTCACAGGAAACGAACAGCTGACATCAATGGGGAATCAAGCAAAGCAAGCCGCCCCATAGATGACAGGAGTCCACAAAGGATATACAATGTATCCAATATATTTGTCATCACACAGCAAAAAAACTTTAAAACAAGGGAACAAAAATAAAATAAAAAGAAATTTAAATAAAACAATGATGATAAATAAATTAAATAAATAAATACATTAACGGGCCAGTACCCTCTAAGACTGTGTTTCAAAAAGGGAACTTAAAGGGCCAGTAACACATTAAGCACAAATAAAGGGGAACTCTAGTAATAATACAAAAATAATACAGAAATTGTACAAAAAGCATACAATCTCCCAAATATCGTCTTTAAACAGTTGCCTATATAAAAATATACTTAAAATAACATAAAAATTAAAAATTAAAAATTTGTGAGAAAACAATTCAAATCTATATCGACATTTAACCCAAATGGTTGCAAGGAATTTAGTCACAATTAATTGATTGATATCAGCCTAATTTATTAAGGTTCTTTTACAACCATTTTTTTGATTCACCAGTCACAGTGATTATATATTATTTTTACCCACTAAGTATAGTGGTTTATGGATTTTGCTGAGGTTTCAATATTTATATTCATTGGAAAGAGAGTAGATTGAATTTAACTATTTTATATAGCAATAGGAGCGCGGCACTATTAATATCTTTGTTACTAGAATCAGCAGACTGCCAGCTTCTTCTTTTTGCCCTTCCTTGCCAGCTGCAGCTCACCTACTCCCTGCTGTGGAAGGTTCTGTGCAGTTGGTAGAAACAGTGTTGTAAAGCACCTTAAATACCTCGGCTATGATAAGGTTTTGCAAAGTAGTACACAAAAGCTTGCCTCTAATAGGGCTACCGGCCCCAGTATGACGTGAACCCGAATCCTTCTGGACTGGAGACAGATGTGATACTGTTGAGCCACAAAAATCCCTTTATGTGAGGGGCCTGACCATGAGCAGAATTCTACCAGAGAATCTTCCACAATCTGGCAAAAGGTGGAAACTACTCCCACACGCTTACAGTGAAGGAAATAAGTATTTGATCCCTTGCTGATTTTGAATGTTTGCCCACTCACAAAGAAATGAGCAGTCTAAAAATCAACTGGTAGGTGTATTGTAACAATAAGAGACAGAATAGCAACAAAAAATTCAAAAGAAATGCATGTCTAATAAAATATGTTCTGATTTGCATGTTCATGAGTGAAATAAGTATTTGATTCCCTATTATTCAGCAGGATTTCTGGCTACCAGGTGTCTTTTATACAGGTAACAAGCTGAGATTAGAAGCAGTCTCTTAGAGGTAGTGCTGCTAATCTCATTTTCTTACCTGTATAAAAGACACCTGTCCACAGGAGCAATCAAACAATCAGATTCCAAACTCCCCACCATGGTAAAGACCAAAGAGCTGTCCAAGGATGTCAGGGACAAGATTGTAGACCAACACAAGGCTGGACTGGGCTACAAAACTATTGCCAAGCAGCTTGGTGAAAAGGTGACAACAGTTGGTGCAATCATTTGCAAATGGAAGTAACACAAAACAACTGTCAGTCTCCCTAGGTCTGGTGCACCATGCAGGATCTCAACCCGTGGAGTGTAAATGATCATGAGAACAGTGAGGAATCATCCCAGAACTACACGTGAGGATCTTTTCAATGATCTCCAGGCAGCTGGGACCACAGTCACCAAGAAAACAATTGGTAACACACAAACTACAAGGATTGAAATCCTGCAGTGCCCGCAAGGTCCCTCTGCTCAAGAAAGCACATGTCCAGGCCTGTCCGAAGTTTACCACTGAATAGCTGCATGATGCAGAGGAGGACTGGTTGAAAGTGTTGTGGTCAGAAGAGACCAAAATCGAGCTCTCTGGCATCAACTCAACTCGCCGTGTTTGGAGGAGGAGGAATGCTGCCTATGATCCCAAGAACACCATGCCAACTGTCAAACATAGTGGTGGAAACATTCTACTTTAGGGCTTTTTCTGCTAAGGGGACAGGACAACTGCACCGCATCATGTTTTGTGAAGGGGATCAAATACTCATTTCCCTCATGAACATGCAAATCAGTGCATAATTTGTTAGACATGCATACCTTTTGAATTTTTTGTTGCTATTCTGTCTCTCAGTGGTAGAATACACCTACCATTGGATTTTTAGACTGATCATTTCTTTGTGAGTGGGCAAACATTCAAAATCAGCAGGGGATCAAATACTTATTTCCTTCACTGTAGACTTCATGACCCTTGTGACATACACTTCACCTTCATAAAAGCAGCTTCAATCGGAGCCAGCAGCAATTCTTTGCAGTCATGAATAGAATGCAGGAAAGCTTCAGTGACTGCTTTCTTTTGAATTAGGATGGCAGCAATCATAGTGGTCCTAGAAGAGGATCTACTGTCCCATGAAGTGGATTTCGGGCACTTCTCTCATCATAAAGGTCTGTCAGAAGGGCATGCTGGGCTAATTAGCCGAACAACCCTTTTAGCATTTGAATGCATTCTTTTAGTCGCAAAACACCAAGCGGGCCTGATGACCTTTACCTATAGGTACCCTGTGGATCTTTGATAGTAATGCAGCATGCAGCATGAAGACATGAGAAAAGGAGTATTCATACAGGTCTGCTGTTAGAAATTATGGGGCCCTGTACAGCCTACCTGATGGGGCCCCCAAGCCCCACCCCTGACCCCACCCAAGAAGAGTAGATATAACGGTGTCTGCATGCAGTGTCAGTATTAGGGAGAATGTTGGGCTTGCACCTGCTCAAAAGACCCCTGGGGTATGACACAGCCACAATCTGCTGTGGAAGACCAGGCTCCTGGCAGAGTAGATTGGCTCTATATTGCCTCCTGACAAACAATAAAGACAGTGGGTAGTGATACCTGCAAAGTGCTAAGCAGTGGCTGACCAGATTTCCAGAGATTACTGCGGTCTCAGGAACATTGAGAGCCATCCTGTAGTGCTGAGTGATGTTGGATTGCCAAGCAGCTTTACTGTACTGGATGGTGGAGGCGCAGCCTAGTTTTGTAATGGAAAAAAAGACACACACCCCTCTGTCAGCCTCCAAGTCCCCGGGCCAAGAGCCCCAGCGCAGCTGCAGCAGGGGAATATACTGTATCTGCCTCCCCAGGATGCCCTTCAGTTTTCCTTTCCCCTGGTAAATGTTGTCCAGACCATGCTGAAAAATAGTGTCTCTAGGTGGTTGAACTACAGGTTCCAAGATCCTCTGCTTCTCAGACACACTTCCCATTGTAGCAGTAGGAAATGATGTGTTTATTCTGCGCTGAACACTAAAGGGGAAGAAAGGAATCTCAGTCTGTGCAGCAAATGTCCATGTATTGAAAAATGTCTCAGCCGGAATCAGGCTACAATATCTATCTATTTATTACAGACTCTTATATAGCATTGTCAATTTACGCAGCGCTTTACATATATATTGTACATTCACATCAGTCCCTAACCCTCAAGGGCTGTACAATCTAAGGTCCCTAACTTACATTTATACATACACATACTAGGGCCAATTTCAACAGGAGCCAATTCACCTACCAGCATGTCTTTGGAGTGTGGGAGGAAACTGGAGTACCTGGAGAAAAACCACACATGCACTGGGAGAACATTCAAACTTAAGGCAAGTGGTGCTGTGGTTGGGATTTGAACCAACAACCCTAGTACTGACAAGGTGGAAGGTGGAAGTGCTAACCATTTAGCCACTGTGCTGTTGCTCACTCTATCTATCTATCTATCTATCTATCTATCTATCTATCTATCTATCTATCTATCTCTATCTATCTATCTATCTATCTTGTGGTATAAGGTGATCAAGGTCATGTGGTAGATGCATTTCTAAATAAGTTGTGCCAGTTCAAACTGTATTTTAGAGCATAACAGTCCACTTTTATTGGAAAAAAATCAAAAAGAAAAAGTTCAAACACAGCAATTCCTATGTAGGGGAAAACCCAGCAATGAAACAGTTAATAGAAAATGCCTAGTCACATGGCTCTCGTGTCAGCAGCATTGCTGCTCTTAGCTCCCAGGTCTCTGGTTCTTTATACTTGGTCAGTCTTTAGTCACAGCACCTCATTGCACAGGCCCACGTTTGGCCTCTAGATAGGGTTCTCTTAATACCACTGACTCTCTCACCCCTCCAGCGACTCACTCCAGCCTCACTGGACCCGCTAACTGCCTCGGCTTTCTCAGTCTCCACAGACTCAGATAGCTGTTCTGACTTTCCCAGTTTTTTGGGCAAGGAATCCCCCAACATCTGGTCCAGTCTCCTTGCAAGAGCACATGGCCCTCATGGCTGACACTCACAGCTCTACCTCCAAAGTGGGAACCCTGAGCTATGCGCAAGCTTTGCTTATAACAAGCATGCGCACCTGCATAAGCACAAAACCTTCAAGTCCCCAATAAGTCCTGGACACAGGATTGGAGGTTTTGTCCTTCTCAAGACACTTTGTAATCTTCAAGCTTCACGCTCTGATCCGGGATTACACAACATAGAGAAGACTGAGAAGCCAGTCCTTTTCCATTTAAAAGCAATGCTCTGGAACTTTGCACTATGCCTTAATGTGAATTCTGTGTGTGTTTCCCTATAATCACACTGTGGCAGAGCCTAGCACTGTCATATTTTATTTATATATATATATATATATATATATATTTCTATAAATACCACAGCTTGCAGTGTACAGACAAAAAAAAATTGAAAAGTACAATAATATTTCTTTTCTTTTCTTTTTTTAGTACTACCATGGACACAACACTGAATGATTGTTTTCTTCCAAAAAATACTTCAATATTTGTAAATATGTACCAAGTAAACCATGATCCGTAAGTAAGGTTTTATTCAAGGGCTCAAAATTATATAATTTGGTTGTAAATTGTTATTAAATTTACATCTTCATCCCTTCTTACCTTGGTAGAGGAACCCATTGGTACAGCTACATTACAATGTGGTGAAACTTATCTCAGCTCTCTATGTTTGGCTTTCTGCTTCAGTTACTTATGCAGCTGTTATCAGAACTAGTTCCTTACTGATCACTATGGGCCTCTGTCATACATGTACATAGGTGCAACATTGGGGATGGAAGGAAATGAAAAAAACATATATGTTTCAAAAACCAGACTACAAGATTGGCATTGTTAGGTGGGGGAAGAAGGCAAAGCTGGTATTGCATGCCTTTGAGAGAATAAAATATTGTTGCAATTGCAGCCCAACAACAATTTAACACCTGGGTGATGGCAGTGCAGAGCCTGCATGGTTGACCATTGGCCTGTAGGGGGGAAGGTTTACCTATCACTATAAAACTGTACAAAGCTTGTATGAAGTATGAAGTAATTAACCAATTCTTTCTTAAACTATGGCCCACAAGCATGTTTAAAACTCTTTGCTTACACTTTACCAGCCTGTTAGATAGTGTGGCAAGTAGCAGGCCTGGATTAAGGACAAGATACACACAACACTGGTGCCTATGCAGTCAGATTGGCAACTGTTTCCAGTCTTCTAGCACTCAACAATGTACCTTAGCCATCACTGTCATCTCTTACCTGACAATGTCTGAATAGTTTCAGCTATAATGTCATCCAGCCAGTAGAGAAGCAGTGCTAGGACATAGACAAAAAAACAAAGGAAAGATCTTCCAATCACACCAATGATGGCACAGTATTCCTCCCATTGACACCAATGGCAGGACATTATTATTTCTACTGACACCAAAAATGGGCCACTTTCCTCCCAGAGACACCAACAACGGACACTTTTCCTTTCATTGACACCAATGATGGGGCACGGTTCCTCCTGTTACTGATGCATTTTCTGCCCCATTCACTACTGGTGCCAGAACATTTTTTTACTCCCACTGACCACCAACATCAACACAATATTTTTTTTTATACTCCCACTGACCAAGAACAGCAGGAAATGTTTTACTCCCGCAGACTTGAAGTTCTTTTTTAGATTTGAAGAAGTGACAGTTAAGCTTTCATATCACAAGTTTTCACATTACTGTATTCTTGTATTTTTTACAATACAAATGATTTTTCTGATTTTGCAGGACAATATGGAAAGATGCTGACCTATTCATCCCAGAAAGGTTCCTTGATGAAGCTGGACATATTGATATAAAAGTCTAATGGACAAGGTGTTAATTTTTGGTATGGGAGTCAGAAAATGTGTGGGAGAGGATGTAGCTCGGAACGAAATATTTATTATTCTCACATGTGTACTGCAGCGACTCAACCTAGTGAAGGAGTCTGAACACACTGTGGACTTAACACCAGTTTTTGGATTAACTATGAAACCAAAGCCATACAACCTCCAAATTGAAAGTAGAGCATGAACCATATTTTAAATTTAAAAAAATCACAATATGGTTGTTCTACTTTAGAATGTTGATGGAATTTTACAAATGATTCTTCAGTGCCTCCTAGGAGTACAGCACATTACTGAGCAGTGGATAGAAGTTCATTTATGATTTTGGATAACTTTTTATTTTCTAAGTAAATTTCACTGGTAAAGAATGCCAATTTAAAGTGACTCAATTAAAATAAAAGTTCCTGCAAGACATTAAGTGTAGGCTCTTAAAAAGCAACTCCACTTTTAGTAAGAAAAAGAAAAACAATCCCCTCTGGGTGTTGAATGTACATTGCAAGGATTTTTACAAAGTTTGTAGCAGAAGCTGTATGTTCACCATGTCCTTGGAAAGCTGATTCCTGAATGGTAGCGCCTGTGTTCATTCTAATCAGCTGATGCAATTGCAGAGTTCTATTGAGGAAAGTTGAAGGGTGTGTATCCCTTTAGAACAGTGGTTCTCAACCAGTGGGTCGTGACCCCTTTGGGGGTCGAACGACCCTTTCACAGGGGTCCCCTAAGACCATCAGAAAACACATATTTCCAATGTGTAAAGAGCAGCTACTGTGTAGAAAGCAGCTGCTGTGTTGAAAGCAGCTACTCTGTTAAAAGCAGCTACTGTGTTGAAAGCAGCAGTATTGGAGGTAAAACGAAACTCATGAATTATAATTACTGGGTAAATAATTTTATGGTTGGGGGTCACCACAACATGAGGAACTGTATTAAAGGGTCACGACATTAGGAAGGTTGAGAACCACTGCTTTAGAAGTAATGAATCATTACAGAGTATCTCACCATAAATATAATGCCTATTGCTTGTATCTTAGTGCAGTCTTCTGAGAAAATCAGTAAGCCAATCACACAAACAAGAAATTACTTTTCTGGGGGACATTACATATACCAACTGTGTATAGAATGCCTCCAGATTGCCATATTGAATTGAATGTTACAGCAAATTACGATGACTGTGGATTGAAAGGCAGAGGTAATTTTTAATAATATTAAATTAAAACTAGAATTGTGTAGCAACTGTTTATGTTATATTTTTATGTGCTTTTTTATGAAAGTTTAATTATCCTTTAAAGGAACATGAACATACTGTATGTGAATTGTCTGCAGCATCCCTCCCTTCCCACTTGAATGTCCTCCACATTCTGTCTACAAGTTACTACTGCCCAGTGACGTGGCCCATCATACCAATGGGCCAATAGTAATGTATGAGAGGAAAGAGCTGCACTGCATAAGTGTGTTTATGCACTGTTCAAGAAAAGTAGCTCCCTTCTCCGTGTAACCCACTGCTGTGCTACAATAACATTGTAAAATCTCCATTTTACTACATCTGCAATGTGTACATGTAAATGGGCCCTTAAACAAGCCACTGTGCAAGGTAAAGTGTACATTAAGCTTTAATTATTGATGACATGTAAATCAACCTCTGCTAGTTCACTGGAATTGCTCCAGAATTTTCTCCAGATATCCTACATTTTCTGGAGCTGGAAACATATCTGGTGATTTATATCCAGTTAGCCGTGTTATTTTAAATTTTAATTTTTTTGTATAAATGAGTGTGCACATGTAGATTGGAGCACAGTCCATTTGAAATCCATTTTTTTAATCACAGAGTAAAAAATAATAGTCACACAGTAAAAGATAATTATATCACTTCACCTTTTTTGCCCTACTAGATACCCCTGGACTAGACATCAAGCATCTCTTTAAATGTAGGCTACACATGTTTAGTGAAATAAAAGTGCTATAAATGTATGGGTTTTTTTAATCAATGACAAATGTATTAGCAAATTATGCTGGCTGACAATGAAATATTTTTACTGAGACCAGGCAAAGGGAGATAATTGTATAATCATTTATTTATTTCAGGTACTTATATAGCGCTGTTAATTTACACAGCGCTTTACACATATATATTGTACATTCACATCAGTCCCTAACCCTCAAGGGGTGCACAATCTAAGGTCCCTAACTTACATTCATACATACACATATTAGGGCCAATTTAGACAGGATCCAATTAACCTACCAGCGTGTTTTTATAATTTTACTTTCAGATAGATACTTTTAGGATTAATGTTTATTGATGTATAAATAGTAGTCTTTTTTTACTTATAGCCCATATGTTTTAGCCCATATCTAAAAATAACTGAGCCTATGCTTTTGGTAAAACCTTTGCCAAAGTCAAGATGGGCTCTGAGAAACACTCATGCAAAATGATGGCAATTTTACATTGTAGCATCAAGATAAAATAATTCTTGTAGAAAATACATTAGATTTCATTCCCTTTGCTTTCCTCATACTTAACATTTCTATGTGATTGCTATCTACAATTTCACTGTAATAGTACACTTTTATTGTTCAATGAGAACTACTTTAGAAACCAAAACAGAGCAATTGATGTATTTATCGTACAGAGATCAATTATGACAAAATTACCTTATTGGAGGTTATTTGCCATGTTCTGTATAGTTGATCTCATTTAATATAAGTGTTGTGAATGTTTCATAGTAAATAAAAACAGAGGAAATACCTCTCAGAGCATTTCATTCATGTTTTTTTTTATAACAGATAATTTTTCATTTCCTGAAATCCTTTTCCAACGTAGGATAAATAGCTCCCATTCTAAACTGAATGTATCCCGTCATGCCTCCAGCTTTTATTGCATCATTTACTTGTTCAAAACTAAGTTTAACAATATAAGTTAAGTTTAAAGAGGTTGCCAGATTCTAAAAGTGACCCTGTCACTAAAACCAGTAGAAAGTTTTGATATGTTAATGTAGTGATTGGTACTGCTCCAATGGGTGAATATTTTGACAACTGCAGATAGGCAGAGAAAAATGAAAATAATCCATCATTTGCCATATGGCCCACACAGTGGCTTAGTGGTTAGCACTTTTACCTGGCTAAGGGTTGTAGGTTCGCAGCCCAATCATGACACTACCCACATGGAGTTTACATGTTTTCCGTGCTCTTGTGTCCCAAGCCAGCTTGTAGATTATTTGGCTCTTGCCTATATGTCTAAATTGGTCCCAGTATGTACATAAATGTGAGAGCTGGGAGAGTACTTGCGCAAGGACAGCTCAAATTGGGTGCCAAAAAGCTCTCTAGCTGGCAACTATGCAAGCATGTTTTAGATGCCCTACTGGCACCCAACCAAAAACCTCAGCCATATGACTTAGACCTACATGTACTCTTCTGAATACAGTCTCAAGGCACCTAAACAGTCAGCGTAGTAGAGTGGCTCCTAAAAATTGTGCTTGTGCTGTAAAGGCATTGGCAGTAAACTCTCTGCACAGCATGTATCCCTACTAGCAATGCTTTACCTGCATAAGTGCTCTCCCAAACACAGCCTCAGGGTATGCGAACCAACAGCTGCTCTACAGGACACAGTCCTGGGTATTAAGAGTACTGAGGCTTTGTTCAGGAGCTGCTCTGAAAACAGATAAGCAGAGTTTATAAACTGACAGCACTGATTCTGTTTCCTTTATTAGAAGCTTATTTGAACTTATTAGAAGAGGTGTTGTGACACTGCGACAATAGCTTCAAAAATTTACTGCACAAAAATAAAAAAATAGAAAAACAACCCTACATTAGGAGGCTCTCTGCTGTACAGAACAAATGACACAAATTTTATAGTCCTCCCAAATCAATAAATGGTGAACAATCAACTTCACCACAGGTTACTAAAAGAACAGTTACAAAGTTTGGATTTTATGTAAAACCCTTTAATGGCTAAAATGAGATATAAAGGCTGAATTCAAAGAATTCAGATCCTTTGTAAAAAGTGAAGGTATACTATGAGTTAAGTCCAAGGAGGTGCATGACATCTACTGAACTTATCTCTATTATTTGCATCTGGCAGGTTTACGTTAATCCTGGAAGACAGATATTGTTGTATTTCCAGGAGTCCGATGCTGATTCTTCGGGTCTCAGTATCTTCAAGAATAGAGTCACTTTAGCTGCTGTGCCTGCCCCTCCGCTTCTCCTGCCCAATCACAGAATCATTTGTATTATGTAAACACATTCAAGGCTTCTCTGAATAGGCAGCAAGGAGGAGGGGAGGACATACAGTAGCTGTCATAGCTGCTCTCCCCTCTCTCAAAGCCCCTGGTGTCTTGTATATCTTCCAGCAGAGTAATACACCTGTCACATATAAATACAAGAGGTAAGTTCAGGAGATGTTTCACATCTCCTTGGACTTAACTCATAATGTACCTTCATTTTTTAGTGCCTGAAGTGGCTGAATTTCTGGAATTCAGCTTTAAAGATGCAAGCTTACAGGTCCCTTAATTAGGAAGAGAAAAGCAAACATTTTCATTGAGAAAAAAGCTTTGAAGTGGCACTGACATACAGACCAAGCATCACTAGGGTGATTTTAAAGATGTAACCAAAGATGTGTCAAGAATGAAGGAAAAAAGTTACAATGCAGTGAAGTATAAGACTAAGTTATAGAATTTCCAACAGTGAAAAAAACAGATTGGTTCTTCATGCACAGTTGTTCCCTGAATCCTAAAAGAATGGCTTACATGGCTCTGCTCACTATCCTAATATGTTGAATATATTGAATTTATGATGACATTATTCACATGTACATTCCTATTGCTTTACAAGGGCTTTATAATAAAATAAGGTATGGCACTAAACATACATATTAGGTGAACAATATTCCAACTGTGATATAAACGTAAAAACCTAAAAGTGACATAAATTAATGAGTAAACAATCAAGAAGAAAAACAAAAACAAAAGTCCCACACCAGGTTGTAGATCAA